ATTAGAGTGACTGAAGAGTAGGAATGGGCATGTGTGATGAGTGGGGTTACACATGGATCAGTACTTAGATAAGCACTCTTTCGTTTTCGTGAACAACATAAGAGTCCTAGGTATTTCTGTTTGCAAATGTGAAACTAATGAGGAGAAACATGGTGAAGAAAATGGAAGACTGGAAATGGAATTGCATAGGCTGCAGATCTATGGTATCAAGTGGTTATTAGAGTTTAACCCCAACTAATGTCAAGCTATGAAGATTGGCGACGGGCAAAGAAGACACGGAGAACACGCTCAGTGAGGAAGGCTACATACCTCACTGAAGGAGAAAGACTTCGGGGTGAGAACTGTTCCGAGCATATCACCTGAGGCACACGCCAACTGAATAATTACTGCAGCACACTTGTTAATTTGAGATTTGATATCAGAAACCTAAGCATGGAGTCATTCATGACTATACGGCATGTCAGGCCCATTTTTGAGTAGCAGCAGCACTATGGAACCTACACCTGATCAAGCATGTCAAGAAACTGAAAGAAGTGCAGAGGTTTGCAATGATGCTAGTCCCGGAGCTAGAGGATATGAACTATACGTGATATATACATGATTATATACACCGGGAAAATCCTAGAGGGACTAGTACCAAACTTGCACACGAAAATCTCACTATCCGAAAGCAAAAGACTCGGCAGACGATGCAACATCCCCCCAATGAAAAGCAGGGGTGTCACTAGCTCGCTAAGAGACAACACAATAAGTGTCAAGGGCCCAAGACTGTTCAACTGCCTCCCAGCATACATAAGGGGGATTACCAATAGACCCCTGGGTGTCTTCAAGCAGGCACTGGGCAGGCACCTAAAGTCGGTACCTGACCAGCCGGGCTGTGGCTCTTACGTTGGATTGCGTGCAGCCAGCAGTAACAGCCTGTTTGATCAGGCTCTGTTCCACCATTAGGCCTGGTCAAAGACCAGGCCGCGGGGGCGTTGACTCCCGGAACTCTCTCCAGGTAAACTCCAGGTATAATGCGATTTTAGAAAACGGACAGGACTTGGGGTGATCTAATAACGACATACAAAATACCGAGGAGAAATATTAAGGTGGACAGGGATAGGCTCCGAGAGATGAGAAACAGGAATACGAGAACACAGCTGGAAATTGAAAATTTAGATGAGTTACAAGGATGCTAATCTTTTTTTAACCTTAAGAGTTGTCAGTTAAGTAAAAAAATCTGGACAATGGAGTAATAGTTAGCATCTATACATAGTTTTAAGAGGTACCTTAGGGTTCCCGAATCCAGGAGAGTGAGCCCATTATTGGCCAGCGAGGAGACAAGCCCAGGAGCTGAGATTCAGTCCATGCAGCCTCGTAGAGGTAAGTCCATTTTTCTCTCTGCTTACCCAGTTCCAGAGTGTTGGTATTCAGTAGGTTTGTCTCGTGTCAACAGTGTCAGAGAAGAGCTTGTGATACTGGAATGGTAGTTACTAAGAGCAATTTATCGAGTCCCTCGGGTGTGTTGCACCAGACGAGAGTAACAACTGTCTCGATAACACTCGAAGCGCCGCAATGGAGCCTTGAATAGCTGTCACCCTCGTGAAGAGTTATGTTAATTCATCTTTCACGTCATGTTGGAACCGTGTTGGAAACAAGACTACACTGATGCCAGTTGAAGTAAAAATAGGAGTAAAATAATGCAGCACCGAGGCATAAGATTTTTTTTTTCTGGAAGGAACTCAAGTAGGCCTACTCACCAATGTTTTTCCGCAGACTTAGCAAACATTAGGTTTCATAATTTCGATTTTAATCCAACAATGAAAGAAATGTTACTGATTTGCAACGTACTAAAGAAATTTCACTTCTATGAATTGCAACTTTAGTTCAGGAAAACAGTCCAGTAGATAATGTCTGTCTGGGGTTCGCCGGTAATGTCCCGACCCGGGTCTTTTCCAGTTGGTGACCCGGCCTTGACTCCCTATCGCAGGAGGGTCTTGACTAATGTCTTCCATGGGAAGAGGTACAAGTACCTCTTCATCGTCTTGGACTGATTGTCCTTAGGCCTAGCCCCAGTCCCCGCGCCCCCCACGGTCTCGTAGGGAGAAGGTAGGCATGTTGGACAGCCACTAACCCCGTCCAACTGGGCTCGAAGGGTGTGGCAGCTACGTAGCAGCAGACGATGTCAAGAAGTGCATAGGCAACAAACACTACAGGATTCTTTTGGAGCCACACCCAGCTTTGGGCCGCAGCCTGAGCACTGGAGAAGATCAGGGTTGCTTCTTGCTGTGTGTGTTGACTACTGTTTCTTCGCTTGTCCTTCGCACTCTCCCCGCCAGTATATAAGATATTGTGTGCAGAGATTATACAGATAAATGTAACCAATAGGAATTAGATACTTATAAGAAATTTTTCTCTCTCTGAAGAATCAATTATTACTAAACTGCATTCCTTGTTTAGAATTAGGCAACCAGAAGAAAAACTGAAGAACCAGGGACTACTAGGAGACTTAAATTACGCTCCTTGTTTAAATATCTTCAGATTACTTCCAAAACCTTCAGTAGCGTAGCTTCCAGCGTTCGAAAACAGCGCCTCCTAAATCGACGACAGCGGAGAGAAAAATTGAAGTGTTTAGATCCAGATTTGACCAAAGGTTTACTGCTGACATTTGTCAAGTTAAATGTTGTTGTTGGGGTTTATAGGGCCACTGACAGCATAGAAAAGTCAAATGTTGTTGGGGTTTATAGGGCCACTGACAGCATAGAAAAGTCAAATGTTGTTGGGGTTTATAGGGCCACTGACAGCATAGAAAAGTCAAATGATGATGTTGGGGTTTATAGGGCCACTGACAGCATAAAAAAGTCAAATGCTTAGCACACTTTTGTGTTGACAGCGTTTCGTTCGGTTCCGAGCTTTGTCAGGCCAATGATAAAGCCCCTGACACAGTGAAATATCACTGGACAAGCTTACGTGTATCTTTTCGTTATCCTTTTGCCTACCACAAACTCCCACAATCCACAATGAACAAGTCAGATAAAGATACTGTAATGGCGGTGCGTAGAGGTTGCTGGAATGAGACACTTAACCACGTCCGTGACTGCCGAGTTGCTTGGCGTGGTAGCTGGTGAGTTAGAATGCACGGTTGTGTAAACTCGCTTAGACTACACCCTGGTTTACTGGCTCTGGGATACACCAGACAGGAGTGAAGGCAACCAGTGCCAAGACCAGGCAGGGATAGGGTTGGGGGGGGGTGAGGGTTGATGACTACGGGGAAGGGAATATAAAATTTATGAAGAACGGAATTATAATTCTCATTATATCTGTTTACTAGTAAAATGACAAGCACCAGGTGATACCTGGTAAGGATCGTCAGGAAACAGGACAAGTGTCTCCTGACGCGGGTCTTAGTCAGATGATGACCCGCCTTTGGAGCTATTGGTCATCTGACCGAGGCCTTCCACTGGCTTACCGGTCCACCCTTTTAAAAAAATATGGTCATATTTATAATCATTTCTTAATGACACGCATTATAATACTAGAATAACATTATAACGACCGTAGCCCAGTGGTAACAGTGGTGAGCTCTCGTTACAGTCGCTCCATCAGCACCAGTAATGTTTACAAAACGTTCTCCCTTAAGAATACTGTGAAATTAGACACATGTATGACATTTTGGTATCTTCATTGAGGAAACGTTTCGCCACACAGTGGCTTCATCAGTCCAATACAAAGCAGAATGGTTGAAGATCAGGAGGAGTTTCAAGAAATCAGTCCCTCATCTGAGGGACTGTTTACCTCAAACTCCTTCTGATCTTCAAGAAACTTCTGGGGTTCTGGTGGCCTGGTGGCTAAAGCTCTCGCTTCACACGGCGAAGGTCTGGGTTCGATTTCCAGCCAGGGTAGAAACATTGGACATGTTTCTTTACACCTGTTGTCTATATTCACCCATCAGTACAATGGGTACCTGGGTGTTACTCGACTGGTGTGGGTCGCATCCTGGGATAAAATTTACCTAATTTACCCGAAATGCTCAGCATAACAAGCGGCTTTCTATATAGTAGTATGCCAGTGATGTCAGCTAGACCTGTATACCTTGTATATGTACTTGTAGTAAATAATAATAATAATAATAATTATTATTATTATTATTATATTATTATTATTATTAGATACTCAGGTGTGGCACAAGTGTCTAATTTATTAGGTGAGTTAAAACATAGTGGATTTTAAAGTGAGATAAACGGAATCAGAAGTTCAACTCACTGATGACGGTGATGAAATGGGTGTGGGTGACGGGGTGGTGGGCGGCTGGGTGGGTGGCCAGGCAGTCTGCGCTGGCCTGGGTGACCTCTTGTGACCTGGGCAGGTGGTGGGTCAGCTGGGCTGAGGTGACCCACCCTCCCCCCTCGTCTTGACTGACCACTAGTGACCCCGTGGTCACTCTTGACCCTGGCCACGAGGGAACACCAATCTTAATCAGTACATGAATCAGGTCACTAGTTAATGCAATCAACCTGTACATCAATTAACTTGTCAATCATTCTTTTGCAACTCAATGAATATTTTAATTAAACATAATTTATAAACTTTTTCATCAAATTGCTAATCAATTTACTAATTAGTCATCCAAATTATTAATCATCTAACCTGTCAATTAACTGCAATTAGTCAAATAATTATTCAGTGCAACTGATAATCTATGATACTGTTATTAATCCAAAGTCATTCAGTCAACTAGACAACTCATTCAACTTTTCAGTCAACTATTTACTATTTCTACTAACCAATCAGCTAATTACTTAATGAACGCCCTGGTCAATGACAAGATTATCTAAAAAAATATCTTGAAGGTTATTAAGAGTTCAGTCAAGTTTCTGGTCTCTTTGAACCTCTACTGAAATTAATTGACGTCGTTTAAACTATATTTTTAATGGTAATCCAAACTTCATTAATTCGGATAATTTGCTGACTGAAATTAATTTTTTTGCCTGGGGCTCTGGTGGCCTGGTGGTTAACGCTCTCGCTTCACACGGTGAGGGCCTGGGTTCGATTCCCAGCCAGAGTAGAAACATTGGACGTGTTTCTTTCCACCTGTTGTCTATGTTCCCCATCAGTAAAATGGGTACCTGGGTGTTAGTCGACTTGTGTGGGTCGCATCCTGGGACACTGACCTAAGGAGGCCTGGTCACAGACCGGGCCGCGGGGGCGTTGACCCCCGGAACTCTCTCCAGATAAACTCCAGATCTCTCCAGCAGTGTCTCTGTCTCTCTCTGTCTCTGTCTCTGTCTCTCTCTGTCTCTGTCTCTGTCTCTCACACACACACACACACATACTTACCTTGCAGGAGCCAGGTGAGTGTGGCTGGAGGATTGGCAGGTGAGGTACGACAGGTGAGAGTGAAGAGTTGATCAGCCGCCACAACAGAGGGACCATACACCACAACCCTCAAAGGTGCGTCTGCAACACATCTCTACTGAGAGACTTGCTGATATCAACATACCCTGGGTACCACAGCAACAGCACATACCAACACACCTCAACCGTCAAACTGAATGATATTTACAATTTACATACTTTGGGCATCACTTCTTCATTATACACTAAAGCAGCTTAACTTAGATACTCCATAATATCACCTTACCAGATTACCCTTTATCTGATATGTCACTCTTAAACCATACAACGGGTGGGGCTTGAACCCGCGGTCAGAGAGTCTTAAAACTCCCCCTGGCCCAGTGGATAACGCGTCGATTGGAGTTTTACGACTCTCTGACTCGGGTTCAAGCCCCATCCGTGTATGGTTTGTTGCAATCGTGACACTACGTTTCGCGAGTCATGTGATTTTAAATTTTGACACGTGACCTGACTAAAATTTCACAACATTCCCATGTTCATATGCAGGGTTACGTGAGGTCACATTAAAGGTTATATCTAAACTGTATAAGTCTTCCGTTGTCCTATTATTTTTACGTTCCATGAAAACGTGATCATCACGAAAGCGATGGATTTCACTTTTTCACTGTGGTTGTTTTGCATATATATATCACTGCACTAGCCTGCAACCCTTATTCTTGAACAGTTAGATCATGTAGACGTATTGGTCACGCTTGTGACGGCAGAAAATACATGCAAATTCCCGAGAGAATTGGGACATCTAGGCGGCATCCCTTAATGCCTGAAAACATGTAGACATATTCAAGAGGTTCAGTAAATGTTTAGATGAACATGAGATTGGAGAAATGTGATCTAAATGACCTTGACGTGAAATGATTGCTGATGCCAGACGGGCTGGTTAAGTCTCAAACTGCTCATCTCTTGGGTTTTTCAACACACAGTCTGTACTGGATGGCTCAGCAGCACCTTGTAGGTTAGCGTTTCTTTTTGATAATAACAATCCATCCTGTCAGCTAATAATAAAAAAAAAAGAAGCACTAAACCCAAGGGTTATATGGCGCAGCAGGGCAGAGAAAGATGCAAGGGAAAAGGGAGCAAGAGGAATGAGGGGTGTTATTAGGGTATGGAGGACACCGGGACAGTGGATAGTGCAGTGGTAGAGGGTAGTTAGAGATTGAGGCAGAAAGGACTGAGGGGAGTACTAGAGGCATCATCATCAGAGTTTGTGTAGTAAATCAGTTGGTTCAAAAAGTCAGTGAGAAGTGTCTGGGTTTAAAGGAGGGTCCGTCAGCAAGAAGGGAAGGTAAATAAGAGCAGCAGAGCGGGACGCGTTTGAGGTAAATCTGCGTGCTCGTTGATAGATGTGACAGTCTAACAGTGTGTGGCTCCTGTCAGCTAAGAACGGGAAACTGAGGCTACATTGATCACAGGCTAAAAGTTGACAGTTGAAGACTAGAAAAAACGTCGCCTGATCTGATGAATCGCGACTTCTGTTGCGACTAAATACTACGCTAAATACTGCGACAGTATTTAGCGTAAACATTTGGATGTAATGGAACGGGACATTCACAGAATGAATGTGCAGCCGCAAATCTTCAACAACTGTCTGATGTTAGGTCACATGGACCAGAATCTCGAAGGATGTTTCCAGCACCTTGTAAAATTTATACCACGAAATTGAGGCTTTTTGGGGGCAAATAGGACCATACCCAGTCCTAGAAGTGTGCACTTAAATAGTAGAAATTTATTTAAATAGCGTAGTACAGAGAAACAAGAAAGATGACAGTATGTTGCATCATTGTAATAATTACTGATTTATTTAAGGCACTAAGGCATTTTTTTCTCTCTGGAACACAAATTTTAAATAATTTGGCTTTTCATCTCCTTTTAACATTTAACAGTTCGTTTATATGATAGAAAAGATGCAGACTCGTATATTTTGTGGCACAATCATATAGTCGAAGTTTAATACCAGCAGCCATATTACTGATAAATTAGACACATGTGCAACTCTTGGGTATCTTTATTGAGGAAACGTTTCGCCACGCAGTGGCTTCATCAGTCCATACAAAGGAGAATCTTGAAGAACAGGAGGAGAATGAGGTAATCAGTCCCTCAACCTTGAGTCGATGTGGTCAGTCCATCAATCTTGAATAGAATACGGCATACGTGCTGAGAAGGAGTTTATAAACCGTTGGCAGGAGAGGTGCAGCAGTCATAGGTCGTGTAACATTTATTCAATGTTGAAGTAGGTCGTGCCCATGAATTCTTGGGCACGACCTACTTCAACATTGAACAAATGTGACACCACCTATGACTGCTGCACCTCTCCTGCCAACGGTTTATAAACTCCTTCTCAGCACGTATGCCGTATTCTATTCAAGATTGATGGACTGACCACATCGACTCAAGGTTGAGGGACTGATTACCTCATTCTCCTCCTGTTCTTCAAGATTCTCCTTTGTATGGACTGATGAAGCCACTGTGTGGCGAAACGTTTCCTCAATAAAGATACCCAAGAGTTGCACATGTGTCTAATTTATCAACATGTCGGTTCTCTGAACCATTCATCTACAAGCCATATTACTGCTAACAGGACATGAAGGTCTGTCACTGTGATTCGAATAATGGGATCCCTTGACGCGACACCGGTAAATAAATCGTAGTGTACATTAATGGTATACAATACCGACAAGAAGAGTTAGACATATGTACAACATCTGGGCATCTTTTGTTACGTTTCGTCATCCAGTGGCTTTATCAATACAAATTCAAGGACATAATGGGAAGACGGTAGAATTGTATACAAAAGAAGAGGTAATCATTCCCTCAGCCTTGGAGATAGTGATGACCACCATCTGATTACCTCGTCTTCTGTATATAGTTTTACAGTCTTCCCATTATGTCTTTTAATTTGTATTGATGAAGCCACTGGATGGCGAAACGTCTACAAATAAAGATAACCAGATGTTGCACAAGTGTCCAATTCTTCATAAATAGCAATACTTGCTGAGGTTGAACGTGCTTGCACAGCTGGGTCAGCTATTTTCCAACAGCTAGACTAAGTCTGGAAGGCTATCTTTCAAGCTGGTGCCACTAGTGTAGCTGGAGACACCCACCCTTGCCAAATTGCGTATATATTCCAGTAGAATTTCCTTCGCCAGGGCGTTGGATCCATTGGAGAATGATAAGAAAGCGGGCGAGGCAATCTGAGAGGCAGTATGTACGCCCTGTCCTCCTAATATGACTGGAAGTGTGGCTTGCTCAAATTGTGAGTCCTCTAGAGGATATGTTTGGTCTTTTCTAGCATGGACTCAAGAAGCCAGATTTTTTTTAAGTTTGGGGCTTGCGAAGGATGGGGAGAGAGAGAGAGATGAGAAAGAAGAAAAAATGAGAAAGAGGGGAAAGAAATAGGGAAAGAGGAGAGAGAAAATAAGAGAGCAAAGAGGGAAAAAATGAGAGTGAAAGAGAGAATGAAGGGAAAGAATGAGGAGGAAAGAGAGAATGAGAGGGAACGAGAGAATGAGAGACACACAGGCATACTCTAGAAACTGTTTACTACACATTTTAGACTAAAAGTGAAAGCTGCATCAGTGGTGTGGAATACATTGTAGAATATGGTCACTACGTCTCTTCCTATGTCATTCCCTTCGATCTATACCCATAAATTCACGGGCGAGATTTACCGAATTATTTTACTGTACATTCGGCTTTGGAAACACTGAGTTATCGTGAATAACGAGAAATACATATTTGCTTTGACTTTGTGTTCGTCGTAATAACAAAATATTTTGGATAAAAGTAGTGGATAGGATGTGGTACATTCACATAGAATTGTGAGGTCAGTAATAAGAGGCAAAAATTAAACATACAAAGCCCACACTCTGTACATTTTCTAACTAGTGTATGCAACTCTCTTGATTTATGTACACTGTGAGGAACAGTACATGTACACATGGAGGATGCATAATTTACAATTCTCGTATATATACCTAGAGTTTTCTTTAATACCGACATGACTGTCTGGGAGTATTCTTGATTAGCAATGAACAGGTGATATGCAGCTTTAAAGACTCTTGGACTCTAGGGAGGTACCACCTCTAGAACTTTACTGGGGACCCTCATCCTCAGAAAAGACAAAATGATGTCGTGTCGAATAGGTAAAACTTGCTACTTTGACTCAAAGAGCAACGCTCTTCTTGCTGAATAAGGCAGGCGATAATCGTGTACGCAATAATTTCGCAAAAAATCATTCTGAAAAAAATATGTATATCTTTAAACGTACAAGAGAAAATTTTAGAAAGGACTTAATTTTAAATGAGTTCTTGATAATTGACCAGTTTTACCTATTCGGCACGACATGTATCCCACCGAGTAGGGTGACCAAAAACAGTAATGTAAACAGGAGAAGGGGTTACTAGCTCCTTGCTCCGGCATTTTAGTCACCTCATACCACACACACGACTTAATCTCTACTTTAGAGGTTAAAGTATTCCTGACTGTTGGTAAATAGTTGATATGTATCCTTAATGACTCTAGTGTATTCGATAGGCTTTAAGTTGTATTAACCAACCAGTCAATACATATACCGAAAGGTGTAGGTGTGCGTGTGTGCGCTCGTCTAAATGTACTCACCTCATTGTGGTTGCAGGGGTGGATTCACAGCTCGTGGCCTCACCTCTTCACTGGTCACTACTATGTCACGCTCTCCCTTCTCCATGAGCTTTATCGTACCTCTTTTTAGAACTATGTAAGGATCCTGCCTCCACTACGGCACTTTCCAGACTATTCCACTTCCTGACAGCTCTATGACTGAAGAAATACTTCCTAACATCTCTGTGACTCATCTGAGTTTCAACTTTCAATTGTGATCCCTTGTTGTTGTGTTCCATCTCTGGAACATCCTGTCTGTCCACCTTGTCGATTCCTCTCAGTATTTTTACATGTCGTTATCATGTTCCCCTTCCCTAATGTGCACCAGTGTTGCCAGGTCGATCTCCCCTAACCTCGCTTCGTAGGATATACCTCTTAGCTGCGGGACTAGTCTCGTTCAAACCTTTGCA